GGAGGAGCTAAGAACACAGGAAAAAAGTGATTTCTTCTTTTTTACCTTAAGAAATGTATTCATTCTCAGTAGACAGAGAAACACTGAGAAAGTTCGTGTTCCCTTGACAAGGGAGTCTATGAGCTGTTTCCTAGAGGGGTTTTGTATTTTGTTTTAATTATTTTATATACCTATTAATTTATTAACTTCCAAAGTAGCAGACTTCCTTACAGTGCTTTCATACATAGGTTTAGCTGAGTTTTTGTTTTAGCTATTTTCATACACAGTTTTACTTCTCCCTCCTCCCTCCATCTCCCTGCTCCCCACCCCACCTTTAAAACACACATGTCTGTCACCCAGCCATCTCCAAGGGTTCCCTTTCAAGTTCTCTGGCCTCTGTTCACACCCACTCTCACGTAAATATTAACGTAATTAAGTTTAGAAGCTAGGATCCACATATGAAAGAAAAATTGTGTGTTTTTCTGAGCGTGAGCTACCTTACTTTTTTTGTAGTTCATCTATTTTCCTAAAGATTTCATAATTTCACATTTTACAGCTGAATAGAGTTCCACTGTGCACACATGCCATGTCTTCATTATCTATTCATCTGTTGATGGGCATCTGGGTTCATTCCATTCCCTTGCCATTGTGCACAGGGCTGCAATGACCATGTATGAGCAAGTATATCTGTAGTAGCATATAGTTAGATGAATGTTCAGGAGCAGTAGAGCTGAGTCATAAGGCATTTCTATTAGTCTGTCCCCAACTTCCAAAATCCACAATCAAGGCTTAAGATTTCCCTAGGCTGCTATCCAATTACATACACAGTATATACAATAAACAAGGACATGGGTACATTTTAATAAGTACTAAGTGGCACATGCTCAGGTGTTTACAGCCTAGGGAAATCAAAGATCTCACAAGAGGTCACTGTTTTCTTCTAAGAAGAATACTTTGGTATCAAATACCTATCTGTGCTTGTCAGCTATTCAGTGGTGAAAACCTATGCCCATAATACATCCATAGTCATATATTACTTTCATAACATGTGTGGATAGAAGATGAGACTACAAAAACCATGAACCTGTATTTGTGCATGAGAGAGAGATTCAGGGAGATGTGTTAGATCAATTAAATATCAGGAGAGAACTTGACATGTGAGAAAAAACAAACAAATATAAAAAACAAGGTCAGTGTGGAAAAACAATGAGATATAAAGTCAGAGAAATTGTGAAAAACAAGGATATATGGAGAATGTGCTTAGAGGTTAAGAGTATTTGTTCTGGGTGTGGTGGCACACACCTTTAATCCTACTACTGGGGAGCCAGAGGCAGGCAGATCTCTGAGTTTGAGGTCAGCCTGGTCTATGTAGTTACAGGAGAGCCAAGGCTATGTACAGAGACCCGGTCTTTTGTGAAAAAAAAAAAAAAAAGAAAATGTGTTGCTCTTGCAGAGGACTAGGGTTTGGTTCCAGCAACTACATGGTGGCTCACAGCCATCCATGACTCATTTCAGAGGATCTGACACCCTCTTCTGACCTCGGAGAACACCAGGCATGCACATAGTGCATACACACACAGACACAGGCAAAACAGTCACATATGAACAAATCTTTACCAAGTCAATTAAGACCCACAGCAAAAGTTGGGAAAACATTGTAAGGAGAGACCCAATACATGCTGTTTATATTTTCAAAGCCCCTTCTTGGGACTATGTAAGGAGCAGTTAGTTATAAAGGGAAGGGTAGGAACAAAGCAAATTGAGAAAGAATTGCTGCAGTATAAAGATGCCTCAGTGGTTAAGGACACTGGATGCTCTTCCAAAGGACTGAGGTTCGATTCCCAGCATCCACGCTCTTCCAAAGGACTGAGGTTTGATTCCCAGCATCCACATGATGACTCACAAGCATCTATAGCTCCAAAATATGGGATCTAAGACCCTCTTCTGGCCTCTGCATGCACCAGGCACACATGCAGTACATTACATATATTCAAGTAAAACACACACACACACACACACACACACACACACACACACACACACACACACACACACACACACGGTTTTATAAGAATGAAAGAAAACTTCTGTGCTCCAGAATGATAAATGAAAGTGGTCTGGAATGGAGAGGATGAGGCTAGAGGAGGGTGGAGGATGCATCTGGTTTGTCTGCTGTGTGGAAGAAGCCATCACTGTAATAGCCATCGTTCCTTCTTTTCCTCTCTATTCTTTTTGTTTTGTTCTTTGAGACAGGGATTCTCTGTGTAGCCCTGGCTGTCCTAGAACTTTCTCTGTAGACCAGACTGGCCCCAAATTCAAAGAGATCTGGCTGCCTCTACATCCCCGAGGCTGGGATCAATAATGTGTGCCCTCTCTCTCTCCCTTCCTCCTTCCAGCTGTTTGAAATATGGTCTCTTGCTGTGTAACCCTGGTTGGCCTGGAACTTGCACCAGGACCCCTGCCCCTCCTCCTGAATACTGGGTTTATATACTCACCACAACCTATGGTTTGGTGCACTTATTAGTCCCCTTGAGAATTTGGAAAGTCTAAATTTCCAGAAACAAAGTCTCTCAAAGCCATGCACGTAGACGAAACAAAAAATGGATTCCAATCTCTGCTCCCTGACTCCAGCATTAATCCTTTTCAGGATATCCTATCCCCGCTGCTCAATAAATATTAACCCTCTTATAAAAATGGCACAGTGCAGATGAGCAAGAATGGACAATGGGCAGAGGTATGCATCCTCCCTAGATAGACATCTTTGTGCACCCTTACCCATGTATGGGACTCATACCTCTTGTAGCACTAACATCAACTGTCTTCAGTACATTAATACACCAGTGTCCAGTATTGATGGCACCTGTGCTTCAACTGGATCAGATTTACTCTGACTGATGGACCAGAGTGACAGGTACCACTGAGATAGAAGAGGGCAGAGAAGACACGATGGATATTGGGTCCTCTGCCTCTCAGGGCCTGACTCACAGAGTGGACTCATGTCATCTCACAAGGCTGTGGTTTTCTCATCTTACAAAACATTGGCTTGCACTGGGTACCTCCCAACCCAAATACCTCCAGATTCTAAGCCAATCTTTCTATTGTGCCGTGATCCATCATCTGTGTTCCTGGGTAGGCTCATTCAATATTCTGGCCATTGAAGTTAAATTCAAATTGTTGCCCTGCATTGCTTTTCACTTGAATGTAAGAGGTATTCGGTGCAGGCAGGAATAAGAGCCAACAAGAGGACAGCATGGAAGACAGCTTAAAATGAGGGGCAAAAATCAGGAGTCGGGGTAGTGATACTCCTGTGGGAAGCCAGAGTGGCCTAAAAAGGCTACCGCAACTCTACCAGCTCTTAGACTCTCACCCTCATCCTGTCTCCAGTGAGAAACAAGGGTCAACAAAGCCCATGAATAGTCTGTATTCACCCCTATGACCTTTGAACTTTACACACAGAACAATAGCTCCTGTGTTCTTGAGAGTTCTAAATATTGATTTTCCTCTTGAAAAACCTGACAGCATTTCTTATTACAAGATATTTGAGTAGAAAATCCTTGGGTTCTGTTTTTTTGTTTTTGAGGCAGAATTGTGCTGTGTATCCCTGGCTGGTCTCAACTTCATTATGTAGATCAAGCTAGTCTCAGACTTGCAATGATCCTCTTATCCGTTCCTCTTGAGCTCTGGGATTGCAGATGTACACTCCCATGCCTAGCTCAGAAGAATGCTTGTGCTGTAACTTCTTCCTGGATACGATGTATTCTTCTTTAGCCAGTTATGTGTGTTTCAGTCTTTCTCCAAGTGATTTCTTACAGTGTTAAAATTCTGAAGTGTGTGTGTGTGTGTGTGTGTGTGTGTGTGTGATATCTAAGAAAGATCAGCCAAATAAAATTAATTCTAAGTTCTAAACATTGGGGAGAGGGTAGACTCCTTGTCCTTCTACAGCATTCAAAGTGCCCGTTAGCCCGTTTATCTTTTTCACTCCAAGCTTTCCCAGCAGTGCTTGGTTACCCCACCACCTCCTCTTGTCCAGCTGCGTGTTCACGCTACAGAGCAGAGCACTAGGTTTAGAAGGTGCAGAGCAAACTGGAGAATACAGGTTTGGGAGGCAGCTTTCAACAGCCACGAGGATAATGGACTAGCCTTAACACTTAGAGAAAACTAAATGAAGTTTGATAACAGTCTGTGAAATTCCTTTTATTAATGATTGGTTGCCAATGAAACATGGTGCACAATAAAACTTTCAAATGTATTCTGAAGGCAAAAGTAGACTATGAAGACTGGGGGTGGCATGGAGGGGATCGGCCTAGTTCCCAATCTGGTCTCTCTCATGCAGTATCTACTTAGCTTAGACGATTGCCACATTTAAAATATTGAGAAGTCCCCTCCCATCCTCTTTGTACACCAGGACAGGGATTCTGAACATGGTTGTCCCTAGTAGTCCACAGGGATTAAATCTGTAGCATGACTCTCTGTTCATCTGATCTTAAAATGACTTCCTTGGGGGTACTCTGCATGGTCCATCAGAAGCAGCTCCACCCTGCTATTCATTTGTCTCAAATGTCACTGTTGGATTCATTTATTCCTCTCTCTCTCTCTCTCTCTCTCTCTCTCTCTCTCTCTCTCTCTCTCTCTCTCTCTCTCTCTCTCTCTCCTTCTCTGAGACAGGGTTTCTCTGTGTAACCTTGGCCATTCTGGAACTCACTCTGTAGACCAGGCTGGCCTCAAACTCACATAGATCTGTCTGCCTCTGCCTCCTGAGTGCTGGGACTGAAGACGATTATTACCCCGCTCATTTACTCTTTTCTAGTGAGACATCAGTAATCAGTATCTTTCTGAGGTGGTAGCAGATCTCTATGTTCTTTGTGAGATGCCACCATGGATACCATGGTCAGGGCCACAGGGACAGGTGATGATGTAGTTCAACAGCCTTGCTTCAGACCTCAGCTTTAGGTGTTGGTCTGTGAGCAGAAGTGGACTCTAGATATTAATTATTAATTATTGGCTTTCTATTTTTTTTCCAGAAATCTTCTCTACGTCTACCCACAGAGACTGAACTTTGCTAACAAACTAGCATCTGCCCGAAACATTACAATAAAGATCCAGTTTATGTGTGGAGAAGACCCCAGCAACGCCTTGCCAGTAAGGAGAGAGTAGTGTTTGCCTCCAGTTGGGTGGGATGTGCTCTCTTTGTCAGTTCACAGGGATGGAATCTTGAATTCTCAGTATGTCCCCCACCCACCCAAAGTCTCCTGATCACGCTAGACGATGCTTTACCAATGAGCCGCATCCAGCTCAATGTACAGAATATTCTATTCCAGCATAGCCTACTTAACACACGCAGAGACCTTTCTTGCTAGTCCAGTATTGTCCTAGGATGATGGTGGGGAAATGACATCTGTCTTAAGTCTCTTTCCCAAATGATGCATTGTGGGATGTCACAGCTTTGAACTGAAGATCATCTTAAGGGACTGAAAGGTTTTGTAGGGTCTCTCCACATTGCCCATGGAACCAGGCCATTCTAATACTCTACAAATAAGGGTGGGGTGGCTTAGTTCTCACTATTTGGCTGAATTTCTTCCACATATGCTCTTTGGTGAGTGTGAGACCATTTACAAAAATATGAAGCATAGCCTAGTACTAGTAATACCACCTCAACACCTCTTAGAAATGGACCTTTGTTCTGAGGCAAACTATAAACCAATACTACAGACTAAGTAGTATTATCTAAGAAGCCCAAAATGCCCAAATTTGCTAATTGGACATGGTTGGTTAGCTATTATTATTTACACATAATGGAACTCAGCTAAGATTGTAGCTACTAATAGGACACTTGTTTAGCGTATATGGAGGTCATGCTGAGCATAAAGCGAAGGAAGGGAGAGGGGTTGGCTTTTGCTCATATCCTTTTCTGGTGAAAGTAATTTCTTCCTAGTACTTTCTTTCCTCATATATCTGCTTTTAAAAAGTCACCCCTCTCTCTGACCTGTTCTCTGGTGCAAGGTGTCCTCTTGCAACAGTGTCAGGAAAGGTGGAAAAGGGAGGATGCTGGGAGGAAAGGAAGGTCTGGAGGTCTCCCCTAGTCCTCTCTGCCCTAACCCTGGCAGCTCACCACTCAGGCCTCCAGGTGTGTATGTGCAGACCCTGTGGGTGGCCAACATACTCAGCCACGGGACATTGGTGGTTAATCTCAGCCAGTTCTCCACTTACCAAGCTCTGGGCCTGGTCTCTGGGTTGCTGCATCCAGAGGAAAGGGCTCTTCGTTTGCCCAGGAGCAAGTCCACTAGTCAAACCATGTGCCGTCGGTGCTGCAGCAGACCCCAGGAAGCATCTGCACACAGGTGGCCAGGGCAGTGGAGACTCCAATCTCCTACATGGCTAAGTTCTTGCCCTTGGAGGGGAGAAGATATCTAGCATCTCACTAAGGACAAATGAATGTGATGTCATCATGTTATGTCTGTGTACTGAGACAGTAAGGAGACCTCTGGTTTTCCAGTCTCACACCTATGACCTCAGTCACTAGTTAGTCTTCACCCCCCACTTTACTGTCACCCCACTTTTAGTCTGTATGAGCATGCCAACTGTAGGACTTACCCTTAACTTATAAACTACAGCTCTCTGAGAACTTGGTATCCTGTTGATGTGATGAGAGATGATTTGATAGAGTCAAAAGTCACTTTTAATTTGGTTCCTTCACATTGATAAACAGGTCATCTTTGGGAAGTCCAGTGGACCTGAATTTCTGCAGGAAGTGTACACAGCAATTACATACCATAATAAGTGAGTATATTTCAGAGTCCTGAACACATGCTGCACTTATTTAAATTTCTCCCAGGTTTTAGGGGTTTGGTTTTGAACTCCATGAGTACTTTTCCCAACAGTTTTTGCAACATAGAGACTGGGTGGCAGAAGGAATTTACACTCTTTTTATAATTCTGTGTTGGCAATGCATAATTTTTGTAAGTAACTAAGGCTTTGAGGAGAAAAGATCTTCACGAATCTAATATTATTTTGATTATTTAAAAATGATGGTAGAGAGATTATATAGTATTAAGTAAAGAAGAGTATTTTCTCACTCTATTTGAGATCCAAAGAGGGTCAAAAGCAAAGCCCAGCTCTTTTTGGTCATCTTGTCATTTCCCCTTACCTAATTTAAGCCAACCAAAGGAAAAACGGTATATTCAATTAAAGTGAGTGATGGGGCTGTCTAACCTCATTCACATGTCACAGGTTGGGAAGGGCATCTCTGTGGTGTCAGGTAGGGTTTCATCGCACATGATAACTAGACTCCTTTAGGGGCTTCATGCAAGCACTTGTCATGGGGGCTAAATGGGTGATGCATGTGAAGCCTTGGCACAGTCCATTGATGAGGACAGCCACATGCCAGGCCTGCTCTTGGGACTGAGACAGGAAGAGAGGTCATATCAGTACTCTGAACCTCATCCTCTTCCAGACTAAGTTGTGCTTTTCCACTGTGTGGGTAAGGCCCTTTCTCTCAAATGGAGCCTTTTTGTGTAGGTGGAAGGTTCCTCACAGTGTCAGCGTGACCTCAAGGCCTTGCCGCTCAGGAGCAGGATGAAGTAAATGAAAAGCCCCACAGCACACAGGCGCCCGGGAGCAGGGTGGGCGGTGCTATGCCACATGTTCAGGGAGTCGTCCTTTAAGAGATTTCTGTCCACTGTGCCTTTGATACAGGTCTCCGGACTTTTATGAAGAAGTGAAAATTAAGCTCCCTGCCAAGCTCACGGTAAATCACCACCTCCTCTTCACCTTCTACCACATCAGCTGCCAGCAGAAGCAAGGAGCCTCGGGAGAAAGTCTTCTGGGGTACTCGGTGAGTTCTTCCAGCTTGCTGCCTCCCTCTGCAATTGCCGATGGAGCCAAGGCCCCTGCAGAATCTACAACCTGCTCTCCTGCCTGTCTCCCTGTCAGGAGCTGCAAAATGTGCTAGTCTGGATGATAGCGGAGAGTAAAAATGGCTTTACTAAGAGAATGACAGGTTCCTCAATTGGAAAGCTGCTGGGTTTATTTATTTAAAAGGGGAAAAAAGCATTGTGATTTCCAAATTTAAGTGCTTCATATATATAATTAGCTCTTCAGGAGAAAAAAACCATGAAAGGTAAAATGAACATTGATATTCAGACAGGAGCCAATACTGACCATACCAAAAAAAAAAAATGCTACTACTTGGGCCCAGAAAGCATCGGGTCATTGGCATTACCATCTCAGGGACTCTCGGGGAATTTACAATGCAAAGAAATGGCTTGAAACGCCTCTGCTGGGAGACCTGGTCAATATCTAATCATTGTTTAGCTTTGTCTGATGGCTGTGAGCTGGATAAATCTCCAGGGCTGTGTGCAACTATCAAAACCACTCTGCTCTTGACATCATCTGTTTCAGTGGCTGCCGATTCTCTTAAATGAGCGTCTCCAAACCGGATCCTATTGTCTCCCAGTTGCCTTGGAAAAACTGCCGACCAACTACTCCATGCATTCTGCTGAGGTAACCAGCGCTGCCTGGCAGCTGCTTCCTGTCCAGCTGTGGTCTGGTATTGCCCCCCCCTACACCCACTTCCCATTCCTAAGGATGTCTGTGAAGTCTGAGGTCACTTGCTGGGTTCTCTGGGCTTGTCATCTCCAGGCACCCTGTGTTCTCTGAGAGCGCATTGTTCCGACAGGATGGGCGGAGTATTTGGCAGTGAAAGAAACGTTACTCACTTAGACCTCATGTCAGAATGCTCTATAGTTGCAACACACACCTGAGGCAATGCTACCTCGAATTATCTGCGTGTCGCAGGCCTATAGATTAGGAGACAGGTTGATCCCACTTTTGATAGGTGCTGCTCCTATCGAGCATCCTTTTGGAATGTCTCCAGGCCTGAAGCAGCAGTTTCTCTGGTGGGCCAGTGGTCACAGACAGGGTGGATGGATGTCAGTTGCAGGGCCCCTGCCCTTCCTGCCTTGGCTTTCCTCTTGTCTTTGCAGCCTGAGGCAATGACCCAGTCTAAAGATAGTCCCGTAACTCTAACCCCACATCACATTTTTCACCCTTTTAGTAGAGGTTTACATCTCACTCATACATATTTTATCGTGTACTATGAAAATACGACCCTTTTTCTAGCCAACACAGTGTCATTGGTAGACCTTAAATTTTAACACAATCCTGAACACCATCCTTTATCCATTCAGCAACCACCTTTCTGTTCCCCACAAGGATCATGTTTTTACACTTGCCTGAATTGGCGTCCAGATGTGGCCTGTGTGGTGTTGATTGGCTTAGCCTGTAGTTCTTCCTTTAATTCTTTTGGGCTTTAAGTGAAAGAAATTTCTAGGATCCCGAATTTAGATAGTCCCTTCACAGTCTTCCTTCCCTGTCATTTTCTGCCACCCAGGCTAGCTCTTTCCCTCTGTTTTAGACTAATGCTGTTCTCCTTGACACCCTAGGATGAGGATGGAAATATTCCAGTCCGTCTTTGTGTCCTTGGCATACAGTGTCTTACAGAAACCCTCACAACTGCTTTTCCAAAGCCAAGCAAGGTGGTGCATGCTGTAATTCCTGTATGAGTGAGGCAGGAAGACCAACTGCCAAAGTCTACAGACTAGTGAACCATTATTAAAAACCAAGAAAAAACAAATCCTGGTTTTCAGCTTTTAAGTTCCACATCCTTACTTGATAGGACTCCTATGTTTTTTTCAAAAGCATACATAAAACCTGAGATTTTGTTGTTGCTTTGTTGAAAATTTTAAAAACAGTTTTTAAGACAGGCTCTTATTTAGCCAAGGCTGTCCTCAAATTCACCAAGTAGACAAGGATGGCTCTGAACTCCTGATCCTCCTACCTCTGCATCCCTGCAAGCATGTGCCACCACACCTATCTAAACCTGAGTTTGTAAGACAAATCCCCAAATGCCAATCTTCCACTCTCCGACTGCATGAGTGTGGGCACATCAGCTACCCTCTCTAACTCTCACAGATGAAATGAAGTCCACATCTGACTATAAGGTGCAGTGGGCAGTAATTGAGTAGGTGCTTAACAAGAGGAACATAATGCGGAAGTAAATATATTTTCTTATTCCTACCTATAGGGGCTGGAGAGATGGCTCTGAGGTTAAGAGCACTTGCTGCTCTTCTGAAGGTCCTGAGTTCCATTCCTAGCCACCACACTGTGGGTTACAACCATCTGTAATGAGATCTGGTTCCCTCTTCTGACCTGTAGGAATATGCTGCAAGCAGAACACTATATACTTTATAAACAAATAAATCTTAAAAAAAAAACTCAAATGATTCCTACCTATAGACTCATCCTCAACCCCGCATTGTCTTTCACTATCAAATACAGCAGTAGCAGGTGGCTAGTGAGATCATGAATGGGCTAGTTCTGACTCGGAGCTGTTAGGGGAAGATATGGACTGGATTTCAAAAATTGAGTATTTTATTAATAATTTTTTGTATTCTCAATGAAGAAAGAGTGGGCCATACTGTGTAAATAGTCTGTTGAAATTGCTCTCACATGGTCTTTAATGTGGCTTCTCAACAACTTGAAAGTTTTGAAGCCAATGAGACAGCTCAGTGCATAAGGATACTAGCCACCAAGCCTGATGACCTGAGTTTGATCTTGATCCCCAGGATCCACATAGCAGCAGGAGAGAACCAACTCCCTAAAGTTGTTCTCAGTCCTTTACATGTACATATGTGCACATGCATGTTCTCTCTCTCTCAATCTCTCTCCCTCTCTCTCTCTCTCTCTCTCTCTCTCTTTCTCTCTCTCTCTCTCTCTCTCTCTCTCTCTCTCTCTCTTTCTCTCTCTCTCTCTCTCTGTCTCTCTCTCTCAAATAAAAAAGTACTATTGATTCCCATTGGGTTTCAATTAAATGCCACTACTTTAGACTACAAATGCAAACTCCAGTGTCTACAGGAATCCACCAAGCCTCTTAAATGAGGCTGATCCACAGTCTGGAACTGTGCAGGGAGACAAGGCTGGTGCTCTTGGATCTTCCAGCTCTCAAGTTAGAAATTAGTCTGTTATATGAACTTTGCTGACCTTTAAACATTAACAAATTCACAACAATGTCCAATAACCTGGGGGCCAAGTAGAGCTCTGTGAACTAGGGCTACAGTTTGTGCCTTTCAGAGAGTTCCATGGGTCCCCATTTCCTGCCACCATCCTTGTCCTATCCCTACAAACACAGCATGCTTCCTATCTTTTTGATGAAAAAGGCACAAAACCCAGCCTGGGACCTCCTTGGTCTAGCACTGTCTGATCTCTCTAGCTCCTAGAGTCTACAGAAATGTAATACTAACGTGAGCTTGAAGCAAAGAGTTATCTATGAGGCCTAAGGAAGTAGATATTGGTGGTCAATGGAAGAAGCATAATGAACAAGACTGTCACTTAGAAACACTTAAAAGGAAGTAATTTCGGGTGTTCAAACCCATTCAAGTTTCCTGATATCCTTGATCAATGGGAAGGTCATTTAATTACATTCCCAGAATCACAGATCATCAGTGTTGCCTGAGAGCTTAGAGATGGATTACCCAGTGAACTCTCCTAGCATCTGAACAAATGCTAAGGCCCAGGGGTGTGATTGACTTGTCAGTGTGAAAATACCTAGTTTGGTGTAGAATAAGACTTGAATGAAAGAACTCTTAATTCTAGCTGTCAAGTTCTCTGCTTGTAGAACCTGCTGTACACAGACAAGTTGCTTGTTAACAGTTGGAAAGGGGAATGACGGTGCTAATCTTTTTTCTTTCTCTTTAACACAGAAAGTCCCTTTACAGAATCCTCCCATCAAGTGGGCTGAGGGCCATAAGGGGGTATTTAATATTGAAGTGCAAGCTGTGTCTTCCGTTCACACCCAGGTAAGGAATGTCAGAGATTGTCACTGGGTTATACATCTCAGTAGCCTGTGTACCAATTCTGTCTACAGGGTGAGTTGAAGCCTGATTTATTTTTTCTTTGATTAATAGTAATTAAGAGGTCCTAATTTAGCCGGGCAGTGGTGACACACACCTTTAATCCCAGTACTCGGTAGGCAAAGATTAGATGGACCTCTGTGAGTTCAAGGCCAGCCTGGGAAAAAAATGTCCTGTTTTGCACATCAAATTCTACAAAGAAGATCATTACCTTTGCTAGAAGCATCTGAGACTTAGACTTCTAATTTGAAGCACTGGCTAGGAGGCTGCACCAAATTCCCCCATGGATGCTGAAAGAATAACGCCTCATGAGAGTCTTCTGCCTTCTGCCTTCCCAGGACAACCACCTGGAGAAGTTCTTCACCCTTTGCCACTCTCTGGAGAGCCAGGTGACCTTCCCGATCCGTGTGCTGGACCAGAAGATCACAGAGAACACACTGGAGCATGAGCTGAAACTCAGCATCATCTGCCTGAACTCCTCCCGCCTGGAGCCCCTGGTGCTCTTCCTCCACCTGGTGCTGGACAAGCTCTTCCAGCTTGCTGTGCAGCCCATGGTCATTGCTGGCCAAACAGGTAGAGGCCTGTGGGCTGGGAGGAGGCATGGCTGGGCCAGGCAGTTTGCCTAGTGAATCTCGGGCTTTCCACAAACCTACAAATGCTGTGAATGACCTTTGCAACCTTTGTCGTGAAGTCAAGTCCAGTGCTGTCTTGTCAGACTCCCTACATGTTTATAAAAGAAAGGAAGAAGGGCTAGAGTGGTCCTCGTTGATTAAAAGCATTTGTTGCTCCTGCAAAGGGCCTGAGTTCGGTTCCCAGTACTCACATAGTTCACAACTATCTTTGACTCCAGTTCCAAGGAATCTGATGGCTCTTTTGACGTCCTCAGGCACTGCATTCACGTGGTACACATGCATACATGCAGGCAAAATATTCATATACATCAGATCAAATAAATAAGTGTAGAAGATGCTTTTGAAAGAGGAGAAGGGAATGAAGGAGAGGAGAGGAGAGGAGAGGAGAGAGAGAGCACGTGGGTTCTTAGGGCTGTCGAGATGGCTCAGCAAATGAAGGTCCTTGTCTCCAAGCCTGCTTGATGACTTGGATTTGATTATTGGTATCTGTATGGTAGAAAAAGAGTACTGGCTCCCATAAGTTGTTGTCTGAACTCCACACCTGCACCATTGTGCACACACACACACACACACACACACACACACACACACACACACACAGAGAGAGAGAGAGAGGGATGCTAAAAATGATTTTAAATAGGATCCTTAATATTAAAGCTTTTGGAAGTGAAATAGTAGTTCAGTTACTTGCTGAGGATGCTTGTGGCTCACCTGGCCAGCCATCAGAGCCTGCTTGGCAAGTTAAGATATGTTATCAAAAAAAAAAAAGGAAAGAAAAGAAAAGAAAAAGGTGGAGAGCAATTGAGGGAGACATCTAATGTCAGCATCTGGCCTCTGCATGCACATGCACACAGGAACATATGTACACACGTATGCACATGGTGGTGCATGCCTTTAATCCTAGCATTCAGGAGACAGAGGCAGACAGATCTCTGCAAGCTCCAAGCTAACCTGGCCTAATAGAGTTCCAGGACAGCCAAGGCTGTTATTCAGAGAAACCCCACATCAAAAAACAAACAAACAATCCCCCACAAATATACACATGAAGACAACGACGGACTAAGTCAGCAAGCACTCATTTGAAACTGCTTCTGCTCCATCTAATGTTGTGTAAGGCACGGTGTGGGAAGGAGGAGGCACGAAAATGTGAGAAATACACTAAGTCTAGGATGGCTCCCAGCCTTCATGGGGAGGCTAAATTTACTACCAGGCACAGCTTCAGATGGTGTGGTTTGGATTCCTATCACTGTGGGGCATTGTAGGCTTCATGCAGGAGACTGAGCACAGAAGGGGTGGTTTGATTTTGTGGTCACTGTGATTTTGTGGGAAGAGGCAAGGCCACTCCAGGTGAGGATGATGACATTAGCAAAGTCGAGAAGGAGGAAAGACCACAAAATGGGATAATCTGATGACTACCTCACTAGGACATAGCTGAATCTGAGCAGAAACAGAAACAAAGTTGGCTAAAGCCAAATGATGAAGGGCTTGGAGCACCAGACTGGTACTGTATAGACAGTTTGTATGGACCTGCTGTGAGAATGTCATAACCTGTATGCATTTTTAAGATTCATCTCTATGAGACTCCGTTGCAGGACAGATTTATACATTGCTCTCACATCCCCTGGACATCCTGTGGAAATGTAGACTCTGATTCAGCTGATCTGGGGTAGGGTCTAATGATAAGGCCAAACATGATGCTGTTAGTGCCAATGTACAGAACCCACAGCATAACCTGTTTTCGGCTGAGGTCAGAGAGTGGTGGCATGTGGACGTGGACACGTCCTGGTTGTGGGAAACTGCTCCTAGCAAGGGCAGAAAAAAAAAAAAAAACGGATAGAATGTGAACCAGGCATGGTGGGTTATGATACAGGAGGAGTTCAGTGAGCTCTAGCTTGAGCTACACAGAGGGAATGTGAGCGTGTCTGTGTTGAGTAAAGCTGGGGACACAGGAGCTGACTAGAACGTAGCTGCTTCCCACAGTCATTCCTTTGCCTGGCTGAGGTGGTCAGTGACATACTGTGACGGGCCTGAGAACATCTACCTCAACTTGTTGTTTCTTTTGGCTCCTCAGCAAACTTCTCCCAGTTTGCCTTTGAGTCTGTGGTGGCCATTGCAAACAGCCTGCACAACAGCACAGGCCTGAGAAAGGACCAGCACGGGAGGAACTGCCTGCTGGCCTCCTACGTGCACTACGTGTTCCGGCTGCCTGAGCTGCACAGGGATGCACCCAAGTCAGGTGAGGGCTCCTGAGGGGACAGTACTACCAGGGGGCCACCTCAAAGTACTGCCATGGGATTAAAAGCTTGCCTTTATTTTTCAAAGTAAAACTTACATAAGTGCTGAAATTAAAAGTTTCTAGATTTTTTTCTCTCTCTTTTTATGCTATACTTGCTGTGTCTGCCTAGTTGGTAATTTCTCAGTGACCTTTACCCCATTGCCAAGTTATGATTCAGTTGAGGATCTGCTTTTAAAGATGGAGAACTGTTGACTGTATCAGATTCTAGAATAAAATTTAAAAAAAAACAAAACAAAACCTAGAAACAGTATCTACCCAATGGCAGTGACACACTGAAAGTTCTGAAACTTTCATTATGTAAAAAGAAGTTCCCATTCCTCCAAGCTAAGTTAATAATAATCCACCTCAATGCTCTTCTTAGTTATTTACACAGGCAATAAAACATAATGTCTGGGTAGCATGGTATAAAAATACCATCAATGAAGTTTTAAAAATCCCACATCCAAATAAACTTTGCACCTCTTTATTCTCTGCGGTCAATTTTCAAACCAGACTTGGACGCACTCTGAAACATTGCATATGCCTGACCTCAAACGATGCCTGTGGATGACTCATTCTGAGCACCCTTCCTCCATGACTTATACGATTGCACCATTTAAATACTGATCAAACAAAAATAGTCATGTTTCTAGTTCCGCTGGAGAATTCAGAAGCTCTGGCAACCATGGGGGCTGGTTCTTTGTGGCAGTGACAAACTGGTCTCCAGTTCCCCACAGCCCTCCCCACTTCTCAGCTCCTCACTCACGCCCGGCCTGCTTTGCCCAGCATTGCCTCCCTGCCCTGTCACAACTACAGAATAATGAGGCCTCTTTCCAAGGCCCCATCTGATAGGTTTACATTTTAGCTCTGCGCCTCCCTCAGTGGGTCCTTCTCAAGCTCTATAACTGACTCTGCCTTTTCTTTTGACATGTCTCTGGCTGCTGGGGTACAGGTGGCCCTGCTGTCAGCCCCGACCCCCGATACCACACATATGGCCGCACATCTGCTGCTGCCGTGAGTTCAAAGCTGATGCAGGCCCGTGTGATGAGCAGCAGCAATCCAGACCTGGCTGGGACACACTGTGCAGCGGACGAGGAAGTAAAGAGCATCATGTCTTCAAAGGTAGGGGCATGGCAGTCCCAGGAGGCCATGCACACTTGTTTTGCTTTTTAGCTGATGCATACCGTACACGTTTCTGGGTACAGCGTGGTATTTTGATAAACAAGTACACTGTATGGTAATCAGGCCAGGGTGTTTAAGACATTTAGTACCTCGTACATCCATCATTCCTTTGTGGCATGAATGCCAACATACTCTTCCTGCCTCGCTATTTTGAATCCTTCGTTACAGTGTCGTTTGTGGCAGTCCCTTTGTGTGGTGGCACTTGGAGCTTTTCTCCTGCTGAGCTGTGACATTGCAAACACTCTTTACTCTCTTGTTTTATTTGTTTTGAGTTAGGGTCTCGTGTAGGTCTTCAAAAGTACTTGCAATGTATTGTTTTTCCTTTATAATTGGCACAGAGCAGTTAGACACATTCAGCGGATACAGTGTGATGTTTAAATTCACTTACATAGTGTGTAGTGATGAGACCTGGGCAGTCTAACATGTCAATTTCTCAGATATACATCATTTCTTCATGCTAGAAGTGCTCAAAAGTCCTTTCTTGTAGCCATTTTCAAATATGCATTTAATGTTGTCAGCATAGCTGCAGTGACTCAGTTTCTTTGTTGTTAGTGTTCTGCATTAGAATGGTACATTTATCACAGCTTATGAACCAGTAAAATGCATAATTATCATTAACATAACTTGGATTTCCTTGGTTTTCCCTAATGTCTTTTTTTTTTTTTCCTATTCTGGGATCCTCTCCAGGGCTCCACACAGCATTTTTTCAGCCATGTCTCATTAAGCTTCTTTTACATATGGTAATTTCTTAGACTTCCCTTGTTTTTCATTATCCTAACAGTTTCAATGACTAATAGATGTTTTATTTAGGATTTTAAAAATGTGCAAATCACATGCCATGGAGTTCATCCCTCTAAAGTTCATACTCCCGTGGGTTTTAGCGTATCCAAAAACGCTGCAATAAACGTGTTGCCTTTGTTATTGTAAATTCTCCCAATGATGTGCCCTCACCCCACTGCCCAGAGAGTGGTTTTAAACAGGGGCCAGCACTACAGTTTTCTGATTGGCTACACAAGACATGATTGCTACTGTTGCTGACAGCCTTGATTTTAAATTTTCTTTAATAAGAAATAAAATATTAATTTCTATATATGCTAAGGTAATGTTTCTCTGATTACTTTGTAGTAAGGGGGGAGTTGACAGTTGATATTTGGTGTAGTACAACATTGAACCACGACGGGGCACTGTTTTCATGCTTTTTCCCTGCTCTCTCAGAACACTGAAGGAACTATATGGTACCTGAATCTTTTTGTTGTTGTTTTAGATTTTTGTTTGTTTGTTTGTTTTTCAAGACTGAGTTTTTCTGTGTAGACCTGGGTGCCCTAGAACTTGCTCGGAATACTAGATTGGCTTCGAACTCAGAGATCTACCTACCTATGCCTCCTGAATTCTGGGATTAAAGACATGCACCAACCACCATCCCACTGTTTTCAGGTTTTTTGACACAGGGTCTCTGTAAACCCAGATTAGCCTAGAACTCAGTATGTAACTCCTACAGACCTTAAACTCACAGCTATTCTCCCGTCTCAGCCTCCTGAATGCTATAGGTGTGAGCCACCATGACTTGATTCCCTTATGTTGACTTTGTCAAATACTCTTATAAACTATTTATTTAATTTGCATGTGGAAGTGTTTCTTCCACATGCATGTATGTATGAATATACCAGTTGCCAGAAGATACCAGAAGAGAGTGTTGGATCCTCTGGAACTGGAACTACATTTGGTTATGAGCCATTATGTGGGTGCTGGGAACTGAACTCAAGTCCTCTGCAAGAACCCCGAGTGCTCTTAAACACTAAGCCATCTCTCTACCTCTGTGGAAAGCTTTTATAGTCCTTTTACAGAGATGGTCATATGATTCTTTAAAATTAGAGCTATTAATGTGGGATTGACGTTTGTGCTTTGTCTTGTTTTTTAATTGGCCATATTCATTGCACACAGTGGTAGGTTTTATAAAGACAGTTTCTTTCTAGTATGTCATGTGCTTTTACCATCACCCCTCAATGCCCTCCCCTTCATCTCTGTTCCCTTTACCCCTTCCACTGGTCTGCTTCTTTCCTTCTGCTTTCATTTCATTTTTAAGTGGATTTGTGCGTCTGTGTGCCACACATAAGAGAACCTATGAAGTATTTGAGTTTGGTTTGTTTCACCTAATCTGATAGTCTCCAGTTGTATCCATTTTCTAGCAAACAACAGAACTTTGTCCTCTATGGCTGAATAAAACCTCACTGTGCGTGCACTTACAATGCCTTCTCTACCTCTTTGTGAATAGACATGCCGTTTGCAATGCTTGCCTCTTACGGATAGTGATGCAGTAAATTAGGCATGCACATATCTGTCTAGTATGTGACTGAGAGTCTTTCGGGCACATAGCCAGATGTGGTCTAGCCGTGTCAGAGGGTAGTGCTCCTTTGGTCTTTGAGGATCCACCACACTGATTTCCATAATGGTTGGCCCAGTTTACATTCCCACTGGTCGTGTAAGGGTTCTCTCCTATCCGTCTTCACCAGCATTTTGCTGATGTTTGTTTTCTTTTTGGGGCAGGTGGGGGAGGGGGGTGCAAGTTTTAAGACAGGGTTTCTCTGTGTGGCTCTGCTTTCCTGAAACTTACTTTGTAGACCAGGTGGCCTTGAACTCACAGAGATCCACCTGCCTCTGCATCCCCAGTGCTGGGATTAAAGGCGTGCTCCACATCACCCAGCATGTTTATTTTCTTGATGACAAGTATTTTCATTTTGTATTAATTCTTTGAGAATTTTACACAAACTCTTTGATATCACCTCAGCTCCTCCAAGGTCCCCCATCTCCCTATCCACACCGAACTTCATGTCCTCATTTTCTATGTTTTTAAATAACCCACTGAGCCAAATTGTGCTGCCCATACACCATATACTCATGGCGCAGGGTCATCCACTGGAGCGTGACTGACTTACTTGTCAGAAGCCACATTCATAAAGCTTTCTGCCTCCACCCAAAGCCATCAGCTGCCCATAGCTCCTCAGTTAGAGGTGACTTCTTAAGCTACTGCCTTCCCGCAATGACAGCTCTTCTGATGATAGCTACTGTAATACAACAAATAAAAGACCCAGAGACGATATTGGGGTTCAAGCTGAAGGTCAGGGAAGCAAAGCCGCCAAGCTACCAGAGAGCTCTTACCTCTAAAAGGGCTGGGGCATTCCTATTCTCTACATGGCTGAGGAATGAATGCCCCCTATCTTCAGTGTGGCTAGAGAATGAATGCCTCATACTGAGACCTTGCTCCTGTCTTATATACCTCCCTAATGCTGGGATTAAAGGCGTGTGATCCCAGGTGCTGAGATTATCTTTGTGTGAGCTCTTTCTCTTTAGGACTGGATCATCTGGGTGGTGTTGAACTCATAGAGATCCAGAGTTCTAGGACTAAAGATGTGGACACCAACTCCTAGTTTCTGGCTGCTGGGATTAAAGGTGTGTGCCTGACTTCCATGGCTTGTGGCTGACTTTGCTGTCTGAATCCTCAGGCAAGCTTTATTAATTAATCATAAATAATAGATTACCACAAGCTACTGTGATGAGGGTGAGCTTTAACTGCAATGATTATTTTGTTGTTTTCCTCTTCCTCCTTTTTCTTGATTCAGGGATACAGAGTCTCATGTAACTCAGGCTGGCCTTGGACTCCTGACCCACCAGTCTTAGATTAATGAGTGTTGGGGTTGTGTTTTTCTGATGGCTGAATATCCTGTATATTTCTCATATGTTTACTGGCCATTTATACTTCATTTTTGAGAACTGTTTGTTCTTTAGCCCATTTATTAACTGGTTTGTTCCATTCTTTGGTATTTAGTGTCCTTAATATATTCTAGGTATTGATGTTCTATATATCCAAACATATAACTAGCAAAAGTTTTTTGTGTGTTGTTTCTTTAAAGTGTTGTTTCCTTTGCTATACAGAAACTTTTTAATTTGTCAGTTCTTGGATCTTTCTTTCTTTCTTTCTTCAAAGTAGTTGCTGCTATTTTGAAGTATGTACCTTATATCAAACAGTTTTGGAGTTTCTAGTTTATGTTAAATTATTCAATCCATTTTGAGTTGGTGCTCGTAGTGGGTAAGAGATATGGATCTAGTTTCATTATGCTATATGTGGTACCCAATTTTCCCAGCACCACTTACTGCAGAGGCTGTTTTTATCCATCGTACATTTCTGGCATCTTTGTCAAAAGCCACATGACCATGGCTTTGTGGGTTCATGGCTCTTCTGTTATATTGATTTACATATCTATGTTTGTGTCAGTATGATGCTGTTTTGTTACCATGCTCCTGTAGTATAATTTGAAATCATATATTGATTGTGACACCTCCAGTATTTTTTGCTCAGGATTGCTCTGGATATTTGGGGTCTTTTGTGCTCCCAAATGAATCTTAGTAATTTTTACTATTTCTATGGAGAATGTCATTGGAATTTTGATGGGAGTGCTATTAAGTGTGTAGATTTCTTTCAGTATTAAAAGTGTTTTCATTATATTAATTCTGCCAACTCATGATTACAAGAGGGCTGTTTTCTGTAAGATCATTCCTCCAGGCTTTAAAATTTCCATTGTAGGGGATCTTTCACCGCTTTGGTTAGATTTGTTTCTCTGTATTTTAAGAGTATTATTTTCCAGATTTCATTCTTAATGTGTTTGTTATTGGTATATAGAAAAGCTACTGATTGTTGTATATTGATTTTGTTTCCTGGTACCTGGCTAAAAGTAAACTCTCAGAAGAGTTTTCTGGTGGAGGCAAAAAGATCTTTTATGTATGCAACTATATTTTCTACAAATAGGAATAATTTGACTTTTTTCTTTCTTGTTTGGTTTCTCCTAAGCTATTGTTCTATCTAAGACTATAAGGACTATATTAAATAAAAGTGGAGAAAGTGTAAATGTGCATCTTTTGGGTATATGCCTAAGAGTGGAATTGCT